AGTTATGGATCCGTATGAAGCTACACGTTGGTCGTGAATGTTTATTGAAGAGATGAAAATTTAAATCATTGTAACATTACAACAAAGATAAAGAGAAATTCAGTTGATCCATAACTATTGCTGAAAATCATTATTTGACGATTGCCGCGTATCTTGTCTCAATGTTAATGTGCGAAGACATTAGTTATCCACGTTTTACGTAACAAAAAACGACAAAATATCATACAATTGCTTGGGGTGAAAAAAATGTATGCGATGGGAATACACATTGATAAGGCGAATCTTTCGACGTTAATGTTATTATTGGAAAAGAGTCAACAAACGTCCAAATGATTTTGTAGATGGAGGATAAGAAGATGCGTTCCTATGCCGTCATACCACCTCTATTGTTGGACGCGAAGCAGAGGAGGATCGCGTTCCAAAATCGGAATGGGTTGCTCCAGCCAGAGGAGTTAGAAGCTCTCCACAGCGAACGCAAACTCATCAACGTTTGGAGTTCCGTGGAGCACGAATTATTCAAGGAGAAATACCTCCAGCACCCTAAAAATTTCGGAGCGATAGCTCAATCGTTAGAACATAAGTCCGCTCCAGATTGCGTACATCACTACTACCTCACTAAAAAGGCGGAAAATTATAAGCAGCTTCTGCGGAAGTCGCGTCAGAGAACGCGTAGCTCTCGAAACAATCCGAATAACAAAGTGAGTATAATTAAATTATGACTGTAGTACATTGAAGGTCTCAAGTTTGAGCTAACCATGTGGAAACGTGAAGCCAGTTTGCGAAACAGAGTACGAAGGGGAAAACCTTTTGATTTTATTAAAACAAATGTGATTTTCCTCGCGGTTGTTCCAGGTTAATAATACCAGCTCTACAATCGGACCTATCGATATTTTAACGACGGGAGTAACGACAAGGTTACAGCGTGAGCAACAACAGAAGACCCAGGAGAATCCTCAGAGTAGTTCGGCGACAGCAACGTCCACGTCCACAACGAGCACCACATCGGCTACATCGAGCGTATCGTCGGCAACCGTAATGACCACAACGGCGACGACGACGACGGCGGCTTCGTTGAGCTCGATAACGTCGGGCGTCGGCTTAACGACGGATTCCGTAACGGCATCAACGACAACGACAACGACATCTGTCCTGAACACCACCGCGGCATCGAGCGCATCGGCGACACTGCCGACATCCGGCTCGAAGGATTCCAGAGAGACGAGTAAGGATGGCAAGGTCGACTCGAAGGACTTTCATCCCATTAAGGATGAATTCGGTTTAATACCGCGGTTCAGCACGCCCCAATACATGAAGGATGTCAAAGTAATGTACGTGTGATGCTTGACTCCTTTAATATTATTATCAGTAGTCAGTTTTATCAGTTGGAGATGTAGGTTTTTATGCGCAGGGTGAAGCATATTAAATACTTTCTCTTAATAAGATATCTCTGTAGGAACCAAACAACTTTTTTTACCTAAGATATTTCTTCGAATAATGCACTTTTTCCGAGACATTTTAGATGGACGTGGAAAAAAATGTTTTCACCCTGTAATAAATGTTACACGAGTATCAGTTCCTCGAGAACAGGATTTATGCGCATAAATATACGCATCAATTTATTTATTCATTTATTTACACGTATAAATTCCGTTGTCGGCCAGTCGACACTTCCTCCAGCGATACGTGATTGAAAGTGACAATTTCTCAGTCGATCAACATTCTCCAGATTGTCCGAACACGAGCTGCGATTAAAAGAATGTTCCAAGCAGCTGCGCGACACTCACACGCAACGCGCGGTTATAATGTCGCGGCGTTAATATCGCGTTCTCTGCTCTTTTCCAAGTATTTGCCGCGATATTGATCACTCGCAATACGCGAATAAGAAATAAAAGGGATCGGCGTCGCTCATTTTGCGAAACGCATACCAATTGCTCCGATTTTGATCTATATAAAAGCGCGCGCGCGCATACGCTGACTGATTGAATGAACCGTATCCATCGGCCGGAAGATATTCATTCCGCAAACACATCCCACTCCGCAAACCAATCTCAATATTGTTCACGGCGGGAGAGACGACCCGCGAATACCCATTTAACGATTGCAATACGGTGACGCACGAATATCGCGAAAAACTACTGGCGCGAGAGGGAGAGAGAGAGGGGGGGGGGAGAGAGAGAGAGAGAGAGAGAGAGAGAGAGAGAGAGAGAGAGAGAGAGAGAGAGAGAGAGAGAGAGAGAGAGAGAGAGCGGAGTCCGCTTCTTATCTTCTCATTTTCTTCCTTTTCCCTTTTCCTCCTCCCTCTCCTCGTTCTTTCATCCCTCATTCTTTTTTGTTCACTGCCACGCGCTACCGTAGAGATAAGTTTTATTCGCCGTTGGTGATTCGATCGCGGCCGAATTGTCGAATCGCGGTAAGCTAATTTCGAGGGTGAGGTCGGGGGGTGAAGGGACGTGGCGGGGCGGGGTGTGTGTGCGATAGCTCGGCGGTGAGGGAGAGAGATGGGGGAAGATCAATTATTAGCAGATTGTAATGCTAATCAATGGTTACTGGTTAGTGGATTATGTTTACGTAGGCTCTCATCAACGTAATTGACTCGATCGTTGGAAATATGATTCCGCGCGATGAGAACGGCGAGTGTCTCTCCGTTCTCTGTGCTCTCTTCTCCGTTGGATCCTTGGGGAAGCTTTCGCGATTGATCTTGCGGACGCGGCTGCGTCTGCGACAGCATGCTTCACGCGATAAGACGTTATACATTCCTTTGTTCTGAAGAACATATTCAAGTACGCCTAATGCCCGGTTTCTTCACACCTCCCAGATAAAGGTATCCATCAGATAACTAACAATTTGTTGTCTTCACTGATACCTCTGATTACGTATTTAACAGATAGCTGTTCTTCATACTACTAACATTTTGTCATAAAATATACTAGAATTTTACTATAAAATTCGATGTCAACTCATATTTGAAAATTGTGGTTCGGTTTATCCCTTTTTTGTGTAAGTTCCACATATTCATCATCATCATCATCATCATCATCATCAGATTCAAGAATACCGATATCCACGAACCACAAATCCATTATTATGTTTGTATTTTCATAAAAAAACAGCACCAATTACGTACTCTTGTAATTTTTTAGATTATGTCGGGGCAGTGAAATCGATATTTGCCAGATATCCGCTCCTTCGAGTAGAAGATAAGTTTATCCGCCGGATACAAACTTTACAAAGGTGAAGAGAACCGATTCTGGGAGATATCTTTTGGATAAAGTTATCGGGAACTTATCTATACAGGTGAAGAAATTGGGTAGAAACAAAGGTTTTTGTTTAATAATGGGTTGGTAATGGGTTCGATCGGACGCGCAGCATTCGTGCTTTCGTCCAACACGTGTCGAAGAAAAGTCCAGTTTACTTGTGACATTTGCATGTCTCTGAGATTAACATCTACGTGGGATCGAGGGAGGACGGGTCTCTGACGGGTGGTGAAATATTCTCGATATTATGAAACCAATCGTTTGTGTGCTTTGACTTTGTTGCAGAATGGAAGGGAAAGGCCCGATATCCTCGTCCTCGTCCGCGCTGAACGCGACGAACGTTTCGGCCATCCAGTCGGACTTCAAGGAATCCAGCAAGAAGAAACCGAGTTGCAGGGACGCGGGCAGCGGCGGCGGCAGCAACGTGGCGACTGGCGGCAGGATAAAGGATAAGAAGAAGGAGAATCACGCCACTCCTATGGAAACCAGCGACGAGGAGACACCGACGATCGACGTCATCGGTGAGTCTAGAGCTGATTAATATTTCTCCGCCTCGGCTCGGCATCGCCGTTAATTCGTCTCGTCGCGTCGCATCGGTCACACACATATACATTTTCCAGTCGTTCGCGATGGAACACGATTACAATTTGCAAATTGTGTGTTGGCGAGCTATTGATAGAAACGCACACGCACAACGCAAGCCGATTGATTAGCGCGGAGTTACTTTGGCCTCCGAAGGGTTAATCTAATGTGTGGACAATGCGAATTAACAAGCTTTTAATTATCATATTCGCTCCATTATCGATATGCTTCTCGGAAAACATCACCGATTGATTGACTTCATTATGCCGTTTTTACGATGGAAGTGATGGGATATTTAATAATATCATCTCTCTCTCTCTCTCCTCTCTCCCCCTCCCCCTCTCTCTCTCCCTCCCCTCTCTCTCTCTCTCTCGCTCGCTCGCTCGCTCGCTCGCTTCTCTTGTGATTTATTCCGCACGCGAGGATTTGTAATTTGGGAAACGATCTCGAAAATATTAGATTGTGCGCATTTGGTCTTCTACATTCGAAAGTTATCGAGATGCGGAAACACGGGCGGACCCGAGCAAAGTATTTTGCAGAGTCTCATCTTATATTGTTGCCTGATCCAGATGCAATTACACGGCATGTATATTACATGATTTCGTCAAGTACACGCGATCAAGCGCTCGCATGAGATCAGAGTATTACCAAGAGACCCAGTAAGACCGTCGACACCTCCCCGAACGTCTCGAGCGTGCTTCCTCTGGAAACACTGTGGGTTACTCGTTGATACATTGTTTCCTGCCTCGCCCGGATCCCACTTACTCCTGGGCCATTGTCCCAGACACACTTGGCGACACTGTCAGTTCGGCAGGTAATGAGGTCGTTGCGTAGATGAGGTAAACGTCCCGGTTAGCGACATTGTCCCAACTTGTGCAACGGTCGCACTCGTCTGAACAAATAATTCATACGGCTCCGCATTCGTCCTAAACGTATGTCCTTGCACTTATCATCGGTTGCAAGTGTTGCAATCGGTTCGCGAGTGAACTTGAGAGTCGTGAACCGCTGGTTACGTTGATCGATTACAACAGTCGCTCGCCGACGTTTTAGCGGCTGACACTTGACATCAGACTATCTGTCAGATTTGTGCGATGACCCTTGAACCTCTTCGAGACCAAACTGTCGTATCGCAAAAGTCACTTCTGGGGTGGGGGGGGGGGACGTTTGAAATAAATAAAAATCTTCCCGTACAAATGAAAGCAACGTAACGTGATAAAAGCAGTCCCGGGTATTCAAGCGACGAATTGAACTTTGTGTACTTGACTTAACGTATACTTTATTAATTAATCTCCACAATGGGGGGTTACTTGCTCACTAATTGGGATATTCGCCTTATGATCATGTCATAAAATAACTGCGCTACGATACATATCAAGCCGCGGTTGTCGCTAAACGTGTACGGAACACGAGGTCGGCTGATCCTCCTTCTCCTCCTCCTCCTCCTCCTTCTCCTCCTCTTCTCGAGGAAGACGGCTCCTTCACGGAGCATCGACCATGTCGCGAGCGGTCGCGCAGGCGGCGGCGGCGGCGTCGGCCGCCACCGCCGCTCCTTGCCTCTCGTCGTCGTTCGCGTGGCAGAGCTTCCTGTGTTTGTGCACGAAGTAGTAACTGGGGAACTTGCAGCCGCAGATCTTGCAAGGGTAATATTGCACGTTCAAGTCCAGCAGCCGGACCTCCCGTCTGCCGGCGCTGACGGTGGTAGCGGCGGCGCGCGCGGCCTCTTGGCGAGGCGCCGAGCCGTTGGCCGCGGCGTCTCCCGCGGTCGACTCGGGGATCATCCTCGTGGGCAGCAAGTGTCGCTTGGCGTGCTTCCTGTAGCAGTACTGCGACTTGAAGGTGTGCTTGCAGTAGCCGCAGGTATAGCAGTTGCCGGCGGCGGCGTTGCTGGCGGCGCCGTTGCTGCTGCCGTCGTTGCTGGAGTCGCTGGGGCTGTGCGCGACGGCGCCTCGCCTCACCGTCGTTGTCGTCGTCATCGTCGTCGTCGTCGTCGTGGTCGTGGTCGTGGCGGTGGCCGTCGGGCCGCCGTTCTCGTCGTTCTCGCTGGACAACTCCTCGCCGTCCGGCTGCTGGCAGTTCCTCGGCTGCAGCGCGCGCGCCTGTGCGCCGATTCCGTACGACGTCGTCGAGTAGTTCTCGTTCAAGACCCGGTGGAAGCGCACCGGGCCGTCGCAGCAGGCGATGTCGTACACCACGGAGAACACGGTGCCCGAGGCCGAGGCGGACGAGCCGGAGACCTCCTTGACGCCGTGCGCTCCTGAGCGCGCACGTCGGCGGGCCGAGCGCGCCCGCTCCGACTGCTCCGACGTGGTGTCTCCTCCGCTGTTGTTGTTGCGGCCGCGGCTCACGGCGTCTTCGCCGGAGGCTGAGGACCTGCGCTGCTGCTGCTGCTGCTGCTGCTGCTGCTGCTCGGTGCAAGACCTGCCGCCGCCTGCCGCGACGACCTGCTGCTGGGCCTCGTGCTCGCGCTCCAACGCGACCGCGGACTTGTGGTTGTGCTGCTGCGACGACACCGTCGTCGCCGTGGGCGAGTGCGTGCACGAGACGCTGCTGGACGCCGCCGGCGAGACGGAGCGCGACGGCGACGACGCCCTCGTCGAGTTGCTCGCGCCGCTCGTCACGGCGAACGCGGTGAACGCCGCCGCGGCCGCGGCCACGAACGGCAGGGCGACCGTCGGCGACACGATCTCCGGGGTCCTGGAACGGGAGCCGAGTCGTTGCCGCTTGCGCTGCTGCGTCGGCGACGACTGCGGCGACTTGCCGGACGACACCTCGCTGACGCTGTAACATTTCAGGTTCCTCTCTCAGTCGGCTCGTTCTCCTCTACTCGAGCTTTCGCCCGAGTACTCTCTCTCTCTCTCTCTCTCTCGCTCTCTCCGCTTCATCGGCGGCCGCTTTTATTTGTTAGATTTCTACACGCTCGTGTATGAAAGGAAGATCCTCTCCTCCCGCCGGCAAGTGGCGACCGAAGTCATTTTGTCGGCGGAACGTCCCTCTTTGATCCGAAAACTTGGACGACGCGGTACCGAGATCGCTGATTCGAGCAACCTTATTCAAGCGACCTTGAGTCGCTAAACTATAAAGGGCCAGGAAATGTGGAATGAAAGAGAGCATCATGGTTAAAACCGTAAAAAATACGAGCGGAGGAACATCCGCGGCGGGGGAAGGGGAGGGCCGATTTCCCGCGCCAGATTTTCAAGAACACACACACACACACACACACACACACTCGCACGCACACTCTGCGCACCTATAATGCGAGCACTGCTCATGCTTGTCCCTCGCGCCGGGCGCGACGACGCTGATGCTGGGCGGCACGGTCGGTTGCAACAGCACCGACGGCGGCATCTGCGGCAGGTGCGACATGGCGACGGAGGCCGGTGCCGGCGCGGTCGGCGGGTAGAGCGGGCTGGTCGGCGGCCAGCAGAGCGGCGGGCCCACCAGCAGTCTGCTCGGGATCGGTCGCAAGATGCTGCCGGTGCCGGGCGGCGACGAGGTCGCCGTCGACGCGGACGTAGGCACCGGCACCGGCATCGGCGTCGGCAGGGCAGGCGGCGCCCTCAGCCTCAGCAGCGCGGCCCTGCACTGCTCGAGGGCGCCCGGCATGTGCAGCAGGTGCGTCGCCAGCAGGACGCTGTACACGTTGTCCAGCGTCACCTCCAGCCGTCCGGTGTACATGTAGTTGAGCAGAGGCGCGAACGCCTCCCCACCTGCCGAGAGAGAGTGATATCGCGCGGGTCAGAGGTTGCGGGTGCGAGGCGCGCCGCGCCGCGACGCGCACCGCCGGATTTTCCGCGCTGCAAGTTGACGCGGGGACTCGAGTGGAACCTTTGCCGCCGCGACCGGCCGATTTCTTTGGTTGATTTAATTTTCTTAACTTTCCTTCGTTCGGTTGTTGATATTTCAGAAAGAACAGAAGGGCCGCGCTATTAGAGCCAGGGTCCACTAGGTTCTCAAACGAGGTTCTCAAACTCTGCTGACGGTTCATTCTCGCGGTTCATCGGAGTGCTGCTTCGGACGACGTGGTGGAAATTGAAGAGAAATTCTCGTAGCCGAGTCTTATTTGGGACGAGCGAATGTTCCACTCGAAGGGACAGTGAAGGTGGTGTGTCTCTCATCACATCGCGAGACCGCGCGAGGGTTTGCAATTTGGCACGAATTTGTACTCTCGCTGACGAAGGGTTGTTGACTAAATGTTGTTGTCATTCACTGTTCGATTTCGGCGCGAATGACGAGTTTGGACGACTCGGCTATGCTACTGCTGCTTTTGGCTGGAACTTTTGGTCTTCAGCGGAAGACTTCGAATATGCGGGGGGTTTCCGTTTCGCGGAATCGGAAACGCGAATTCTTCTACGGCTCGAGATTACGCTCTCGACCGAGTCTCGGCGCGAACGGAAATCGAATCGGCGCGATCAGAGCGGACGAGTTGCGAATGATCGCGACGAGCGGCCGGCGAGAGCGCGCTTCGTTTTCGAAAAGCGCAGTAAAAACACAACGCTCCCCGGGTGTTTGCGAGCCGAGCGGTTCAATTAACGGATTGGATTGGATTGGATAATTATTGGAAAATCCCAATGAAAGAGATTGGAAGTAGCAGCGCCACTGTGCGCGGCACCGATAAAAGTCCGTTAATTATTCAATCTCGCGCTGCGATTGTTATTATTTGAAAGTACTTCGCGGAGATACAGCACAGGTGCAAAATCGGCCGGCGAGACGACACGCGCCCCGAGTGCCGCGTCGGCGATCGGGGTTCGCAGTCGAAGACCGGCGGTGGTGTCCGTCACTAACTCGCTAATCGCGTCGCGAGTAATCAGACGAAAGGAAGAGACAGAGAGAGATAGAGAGAGAGGGGGGGGGGGAGAGACGAGGTAAACAGAAAAGCGCAATGAAATATACGCGTCGCAGAAATCGCTCGTCTGTTCTCGATTCCGTCGGAAACGAAATACTCCATTCGTACAGAGTGAATTTTTTTTGCAAAGAGGACTCTCAAAGAGGCAAAAAGAAAAGAAGAAGAAAAGCGAAACAAGGCACTCGGCACACTACTTGCTTGGAGAATCCCCCGCGGTTCTATTCGTGACCTCTCTCGTGATCTGAACAGCCGATCTCTCGTGATCTGAATTACGAGATCCCCCGACTTCAATCTCGGTCCCTCGATCAGCGTGGAAACCGGCGCGCGTGACGCGCCGCCCGGAGAGCCATATTTACCGACGGACGAGACCGACACGGAGGTGACCGGTTGCGAGCGTTGCGACTGGCCGATCGTCACGGCAGCGACGGCCGCGCAGGCAGGGTCAAAGGGCGAGCAGCTCGCCGATGCCGACGAGCGGCCTCCGCCTCTGCCTCCGCTGCCGCCACCGCCGTCACTTCCGTCGCCGGAGGAAGACGGGATCGTCATGGTCGTGGTGGCCGCCGCGCTCGCCAGTAGAGCCTTCAGGTAGCCGCTGTGGGCCGCGAGCACGCCCTTGTGCGCCACGAACTGGTGCTCGCCCTCGTTACCGACCCGCACCACCGTGTCCGGCGGCGAGAAGGTGTCCTGGAGGCAGGGGTAATTGCTCGTGGCCGCGGTGCCGCCGCCGAACCACGCTCTGTACAAGCCGTACATCCTGCCTGGCACGCTTCTCGCGAAGACGTAGCTCGTCCTGCGGCCGAGGATCTCTTGGTCTTATCGCTTTCCACCAATTCACTTTCGACGTGATACTTCGCCGAAATAGTTCTTCGGCTTTTCCCCTCCGTCGCTCTCCTGCCGCGGCTTCACCGTGCCTTCATCTGGCGACACCAGCGTGTCCTGACTCGCTCCTGCTCGCGCACGCGATGGACGAACGCGTTGCTTCGACTTTACGGTCGGGACCGCTCCGCGGCTGAGGAAGCGCCGGCCGCCAGCCCGTCGTCCACGAAGAGTACACGGTGACGACTAGGTGCCCGTGACGAGTGCGCGGTCATTTTCGCCCCATCAGTCCTTGTACTCCGGCGAGTCGACTTCACCTCTCCGCTCTTCCGCGATCCTTAACCCTTCAATCCCGTCGCTCGCGACGGCGACTCTCCGCAGCCGCGGGCTTGATTGACGGGGGTCGACCCGTCCTCGGGGACGCTTGGCGAAGGTCCCCTTAGCGAACTATGTAGCACTCCTCGCCGAGGTGTTTCAACGAGGCCGCTCAAGTCTCGCGAGTAGACTCGAGTTGACACTGCGACGATCGTCCGTCGGCTCCAACAGTGTCATTAGCTAGACTAATCATCGCTTGTAGCTCGAACGACAGCGGTTTCACGCGAAAGACGCGACTGAGATTCCCGTCGATGTCCACACCGGTGGTGGTGTGCTTCTCACGCCCGACGACGACGACGACGACGACGTCGCGTCGTGTCGTGTCGCATCGTGTTGCTCGCGAATTCACGGCCGAGACGGACGAGAGAGAGACGAGCCGATCTTCGCGGTTCTTCGTGATTTGAACGCCGGAGCGAACCGCCGCCGCCGCCACCGCCACCGCCACCGTCACCGTCACCTCCACCACTGTTATCAGCTGCGCGTAGACGCGCTCGCTTTTTCGAACGCTTCTACCACCTACACCGCGCGTAGGGCCGGCTCAACCCCCCGAGAACCGCCCCCGACGAGAGCAGATTGGCGGCGGTCGCCGCCGTCGCGATCGCACCCGCCGAGCCGCACCTGCGCCCGGCGGCCGCGCGTACAAGAAGGATGCGCTCCTGATCGCGCGGAGACTCCGCGAGGAGGCGAGCGGAGGACGCCGGGCGGTGTGTTTGTTGCGACAGCGGCGGCTCTTGTCAATCGCGCCGGCGATGTTGATCGGCCGCTACTTTGCTTGTAACCTCGAGGACCTCCCTCCCCGAGGGGGATGATGTTATGTACATGGTAATCGTCGCGCGAAATCCGATCGCCGAACAACCGGCAGAATTGCCGATGCCAAATTTTAAGGGCGATGGGGGGGGTGGAGGGTTTGTTCACTCCGAGGGGAACTGCGAAAGGGACATTGCAAGATTTTTCTTTTTTTTTTTTTTTTTTTTTCAAGTATAAGGAAAGTATACTACAAAGTTTCAGACGCGACATTTTGCTATTTTCTTCTCGTTGATTTCTTTTTTTTTTTTGGTCGATCTGCTCGAGCTTCCGCGAGGGGGCTGATTTTGCGGCTTCGACAGCGGCGGGAAATGAAGAAACGTTCTGCGAGACATGCTCGACTCTGTGACGGCGATTTTAGATCGTCGGCCGGACTAATCAGCCTGGTGAAAGAGACTCGTGCAGCGAGCCGTCGTCTGCGCCGCGCTTGCTGATTCGCGATCTCGCGAGTCGATTTTATTTCGCTTCTCTTTGAATAGAATATCTCCTTTCGACAGGAATATAAAATCGGCGAGAAGTAATTTCGTAGTTTCGGAGAAAAGACTTGGCGAACGTGCTCGCCGCGACTTTCGGCTCTGAACTACATACGTAAGTGAGCGCACGTTATTTAGAGCGGAGTATTCAGAGCGAGTTGTAAGTTACGAGTGCAATTTTCTTTTGTTGCAGCGGCTTCAACGTGTTATCGCCCCGAGACCCTCAATTAAAAACATAGCGTGACATAATGGCATAGATAAATTGCGGCCTGAATTGGGACGTTACACGCACCCTCGTGTATCTCGACATGTCACCCGCCTCGCTCGTACGCGACAGCATTTTTTTTCCAATGTGTCGCTATGCCCACTTCTGTGTGTACACACAACACACACACACACACACACACACACACACACACATATATACACTGCTGCGAAACTTGGCCGCGTATGAATTTTTCCGCGAAATAAACGCAGATCGACGGACAGAGAGAAAGAGCGAAGAGGGGGACTTACGAAACCGCGTGATTGTTTGCGAGGACGATAAAAATCGAGCGGTAAAACAATAGTCTCCGCGGCCGGAACGAGAAGCGGACAAAGGTGTCTCGCGAGTGTACGGCGAGTGACGTGCGCGCAGCGTTTACGCGATAAGCGTAAACGAAAGCCGACGTGTTTGTCGGCTTTAAATGAGACGTTAAACACGAGGCAGGGTAAACGAGCGAGCTGCGAGAGAGAGAGAGAGAGAGAGAGAGAGAGAGAGAGAGAGAGAGAGAGAGAGAGAGAGAGAGAGAGCATAGTGATAGCAGGAGAGGTGAATAAAGAGTAGAGGAGAAAGGAAACATCTTTCGAGAGCTGCCGGCGAGATGAGAGGAGAGGAGCCGCTCTTCCGCGCCTTCCGGGGCGGAGAGAGCCATCTTTCCTCGCGAGATGCGTCTTTTGCCGGTCTCTTCTTTTCTCTCTCTTCTCTCTTCCCTTTTCACTTCCATCCTCCTCTCTCTCTCTCTCTCTCTCTCTCTATCTATCTATCTATCTATCTATCTATCTATCCCTATCTCTTTTTCTTCCTCTCTCCTTCCTTCCACCTGTCTTTCTCCGCTCTCGCCCGCACCTCTGGCCTCTGATGTTTTTCATCAAATTAACTCTCGTGGCACGAGCGAGCGCGCTCCTCTCCACCGCTGGGCTGCCGTGTTTGCATAATATCGTTTATAATTCAGCTCGCGCTGAATTCCACTTTATTCCAACCGCGATCGCTTGCCGCCAACTCCCCGGCCCTCTTCTTCTTCGTGCTCTCATCGCGTATCCACCACCTCTCGCCGAGACCGCCGAGCGCCGCTCGGCGAACCAGTCTCGAGTCCAACCTCGCCACTCTCTCTCTCTCTCTCTCTCCCTCTCTCTCTCTCTCTCTCTCTCTCTCTCTCTCTTCCTCTCCTCTGTCGATCCTCTGTCGACTTTTACCCTCTTCGCCTGCTCGCGTGTCAGCGCCTTCGGTTTTCATTCTCGCGAGGAAATCGAGCGGGCTGCACCTTCCGCTGCAGCGAGCCTGCGCTCTCAGGTCCTGAAAGAATCGCGCTGTGTGATCAGAGCATCCATCGTTATCGCGAATGAAAGGTTCAGCCGAAAATTCCACGAGAGGAGAAATCTCGTCGTGTTCACGCCGCGATTTTGAACTCAACACCGAGACAGATGACGCGTCTCGCGTCTCTCGTCTTTGTCCTTCGCCCGCGGCTGATCGAGGCGTTTCTCTCCGCGATTTTAACAAATTCATCCCTCAAGGCGTTTGATCGTTTCCCGATGATTGTTGCTCGTCGCGAGCGATTATCGCTTCGTTGGACGCGAGCTAAGTCGGCCACGAGTGTTCGCGACGCGCGTCCATAAACAAGTCGCCGGCTGCGCGGCGGCGGTCGTGAGCGAGAGAATCCCGTCGTATGCCAGGATCCGGAATGGGACTCGGCGATTACGCACATTTCCCAGGAGGCCGTCGTTTCAAACCAGAGCTAACACAGAGGTAGCCCAGCCCTCTCCGCTCTCTCCGTCCGCCCGTCCCGCTTCGTCTCGCCGCGTCGCGCCGCGCCGCGCCGCGCCGCAACCCTCTGCCGTAACATCGTCGCGATCAACGAGTATCGTCGAGATTGTCATTGCCGGACGCCGTTGCGATAGCAATCAAACAACGCGGGACACAATAGAGAGAGGGAGGCATCCTTGCAGAACTTGCCCCAGCGGTAATCACGTGTAAGCGCCGCTGATGCACCGAGAGAGGAGAGGAGCGTTTGGTGCTGCTGCTGCGGCTAAAATCGCATTACAGTCGCGTGGGAAGAGTCTGAAACCGCCGAGAAACTCATTCTTCCGGTTGCCACTTGACCGTTTTCGGCTACAACTTTACGCGTGTATCGCTTCTGCTGCCTTTCTTCTATCGGAACAAAATCGGACAAAAGATTCGTTTCAAGCCACTTGAAACTCTGCCTCGATGTCGCGCTAGACTTCCTCTCGGTATAATCTCACGAAGCGCGGTAGCAATAATCGCGGTGTAACAGCGGCATTATGCAACATGTCGCATCAAGACGTCGGAAAAACACGAGCAAAGTAATCTCGGAAAGACGCGCCTCGACGAGCACGCTTGGCCGCGTCCGTCTCTCTGATGATTCGGCTTCCGCAGAAGCCGCAGGATTCTCGTCGATATTCAGAATTCCATCCATCCCGCGGCAGCTTGACGATCCGAAGAGGCAGAGGACACGAGGAGGCGCAGGAGAGGAGCAGGCCGAAGGCAGGGAAGAAGGGACGCGCGCGCGCGCGAGAGCGACGCACAATTTCGCTTAATTGGCCCGTCCGTCATTTGCACGATCAACGATCACTTTAATCGGGGAAATTAAAATTCACGCGGCCGGAGGGCCCCGGGACTCTCTCCTCCGTGCCGGAAATAATCGGGAACGGTAGTAGAGTACACAACGGCGAGCGGAGGAGCGAGAGAGGCCAGGGCCGCCGAGGGACGCGGAGAGAGAGAGAGAGAGAGAGAGAGAGGGACCGACGGATCTCGCTCTCTCGCTCCCGGGATCGTCTCTCGAGGAGAGACGAAAGAACGCTCGCGGTTTAATGCTTCCACGTCGGTCGAGACAAGCTAAGCAAACACTTTTCGCGATATTACCAGGCCCTGTGCGGACTTACCGCGTGTTCTCCGCCTTCCGCGGGAGCTCTCGAGCGCGGCCCCCTCCCTTCCAGCCCTTTGCTCGTTCCCTCATCTTCTCCACCCCCCTCGGGCTCTTTCGCCCGCTGCCGCCGCCGCCGCCGCCCCCTCGGGCTCGTTCGTAAGAAAATAAATAGTCAGCGTTCGAGTTATCTATTTATCCGGCGCTTTGTGCCTTGTCGACGATCGCGCGTCTCCTCTTGACGTCCGGCGCGACTTCCCCTCCGCGCGCGATTATCCTCCGTTAAACGCGCTAATTGATCTCTCCGCTAATGTGTGAACGGGCCGACCGAGTCTCTTTCCTTCGGCGACGCAAGCCCTTCCTCGATTCCCTCCGCCGTCGAGAACCCCCGCGAGACGCCCTCGGCGCCGCCGGACTTGCGTTTGCAACAGGGAGGGGGGGAGAGAGAGGGCCGTGGAGTGTCGTGGCCCTCCCCCGTTCGCTCGGCGGCGAGACGGAGGGAGCGTGAACTCGATAACGCGCAAATAAATGACGAGTCGCGTTAATACGCTCCTAGATCACACGCATCGTAATCGCAGTAGTCATAGCAAATTGCTGGGAAAATTAAATGCCCGGGGATCCGTCCGTCATGCCGGTCAGCGCGCGGCGGCGGCGGCGGCGATGGCGGTGGTGGTGGTGGCGGTGGCGATGAAGGGATGAGGAGGAGGAGGTGGAGGAGGAGCGGCGGGCTAACAGGGGTGGAAACTGCGCGCGCGCGCGCGCGCACCTGGCACGAGCTAATTAGCGTCTTGATTTACTTAATCCCAATTAATGCCTCCGCTATGCCGGCAACGGCTCTCGTTGCGGCTTTCTCTCTCTCACACTCACACATATACACACACACACACACCCACATACACTCGCTCCCCCATCTCTCTGTCGTCTCTCGTTTTCCTCTCTCGCTCTCTCGTTCTCGTATATGCACTAGTCGGCGGCGGCGGTGGCGGCGGCGGCGGCGGCGGCGGCGGCGGCGGGGGTGCTCTCTCGCGTTTCGAATTCGGCGTTTCTGGTCTGCAAATACGCCGGATTATCCACGTGCGGATACACACGGCACACGGCTAATGTAGCCGTGCGCCCCGCGGAGCTCCTCCGCGTGTCCTTGCCGCGCGGTTATTATCGCGCTGCCGCGAATCGACGATTTACACGTACTTGCCGCGCTCATCACAAAAGCCCGGCCTTCTCTCGGTATCAACATACCGTTGTTATCAACGTGCGTTGACAAGGCGCGTCAACGACAACCGCGACGCGCCGTCACAGGTGACCGACTCGCGTGCCGTAATTCAATCAGCCGGCGAGACGTTTTAAAGGGTCGCGCGCGGGAAGGGTAGAGGGTAGCGCGTCGTTTCGCCTGGCGTTTCGTCATCGGCCGACCACAATCTCCCTCTCGTCTCTCCCTCTCTCTCCTCCCCCTCCTACTCTTCTAGCGCCTTCTCTCTCTCTCTCTCTCTCTCTCTCTCTCTCTCTCTCAACTCTCGTCCGCGAT